ATACATTGTAGACAGACCCTGTGAGGTGACGTGCTTGCATTTGGAGAAGGGCCATATACCTTCCTAAGAATCTCAAAGATTCAGAACCACTGATGTAAAGTCATTAACATTAGTTAACATTTTTTATGTGGTTATGCTGTGTTAGACGCTTTTTAAAGTACATTCCACGTGTTTATGTTATAATCCTTATAACAGCTAATGGCCCCGTAAGGGAGGTTCCATTATTGGCCCCGTGTCAGCAGTGAGGAAGCCGGGCCCAGAGAGGTGACACCATTTGCCCAAGGTCACACAGCTTCCTAGTGAGGGGCAGAGGCAGGCTCTGAGTAGCGGCGGCCGGCTCCAGAGTCTACATGTTAAACCACTGTGCTGTCCTGCCGTTGTTATAATTTGTGGGGAGGAGATTATGCTGAACTATGTGTACCATTCACTCTCAGCCCTGGTTGTGATCAGAACCACGTGTGAAACTGCATGGCTGTCCTGTGGCGGCTGTTTGTGCAGCAGCTGCTCAGGGAGCGTTTCTCTGTCGAGCACCAGGACTCCACACGTGCTAGTAAGAAGTAGGGAACGTTCCTTCCACTATAACGGTCATCACCATCTTCCAGGAAGCTGGAACTCAGAGAGGCTATAAAGCTTAGCCATAGTCACACAGCTTGGAGGTGGCAGAGCCGGCCCTCCTGCTCACCAGCTGACTCTGGGTCTGCTGTCTATCCTGCTGGGCTCAGGCGATTGGAGGATTTCAGCCCTGGGTGATGGCCACTGGCTGAGACCAGCCAGGGCTTGCTTCACAGGTGCACTGACCAAAGCAGAGGAACAAAGCAGATGCACGGGGTCAGGGCCAGGGTCTTGAGCTGTAACTTTCCATAATCTGTGTCCTCGTTTTTGGGGTCACGATTGGTCCCGGGGGGGGGGCAGGTGGAGCCCACAGGAGTGGGACCTCTGCTGTGTGACAAGGAGACCCTGGACTCAGAGGTCATGATGGCCAGGGTGTGACCCTGCCTGTGGGCTCAGCGGTGTCCTGGCCGGGAGCCTCCCAGGGTTTAGTTTTGGTGGGGGGCAGGAGGGGCAGTGGTTCTTCTTATTACCTCTTAACAGTTTTTCTCTTTCATGTTTCCCTTCCTTGATGGAAGAAGCAGAGAAAGGAACAGGGGTGAAACATGAGTGTTGGGGTGAAGTGCATTTCGCCTTACACCCCAAACCCTCCTGCCCACAGGGTGATTTAGGGGCAAGCCACTTGACCTTGTGGCCCCTTCAAGCCAAGTTTCTTCTAACTGATCAGGGAGCAGTTTTGCATCTTGTAGTCATTTTTGTGTCACATCCATCAAAGGGCAATGACAGTCCTCCCTGAGCTCCCATGACAAACCCCTCTGTCTCCCAGGTTTGATATTTCTGTCATTTCAGATCTAAGCAGCTGAAGTAAGGAACACATCCTATTGTCAGGCTGGGATGGTTGTATTTGGGGGGATGAAGAGGGGAAGGTGGAGAGGGGGGAACCCAGCACACCCACGATCCTGATGCCCAGAGGGTCCCAGCCTTTGGGTTTCTCTTTCCATGGCTCTTCCATGGCTGTTTCCAGTGCCCCAGGCAGGCCCAGATGGGGGTCTGATCGTGTGTGTCCAGAGCCCTAGGTGCGCACTGCCAAACTTCAGTTTCAAATAAACAGAGGGAAGAACTTAACCCCAAAACATGTCTCTTTCATTTGGAAGCCATGAACCACAGCAGCAAGCTTGCAAACTAAATATTTGAAAGATACTTTTTGAAAAATGCCACACAAGACTGAATTTTAAGCTCAAAGTAACAGAGAGTTACAGATTTCTCTATTGCCCCAGATTTTCAAATGGCAAAAACTGCAGGGAAGTAGCAAACGAAAATGACACCTTGATTGCAGTTGGAACCTTTTTTTCCAGGGGGTTCAGAGTGTTATACTTCTACGTAGACTCTAATTATCTTCAGAGCTCCTTATTGAGATAGGGCAGGAACAGTCTTTTCTAATGAGGAGAACTGGGGCATAGAGGAGTTAAGGGGCTGGAATAAGACACAACAGTTATTAGCGGAACTAGGAAAGGAAACAGATCTCTTGACTCAATGGCCGCAATCTTACTGCTGTATGAGTTTTGGGGATCGAAATGAGGGAAGTCCTTATTCCCCAAAACACTTGAATTAGCTTCCTTGTTTCTTTATTTGTAAGTAGTAAATAAACCCATCAAGTTGTTGGGGAAACGTGGCATTATGACATCCTGGCTGTGGTGGGACTGATGGGTGTCAGTCACTCACATAGCAACCCAGCACCCCTTGGTGCAGTCCCATCTCTTGCCTATTCCTGGGGAAATTTGTTCTCTTTTTGGCTATTGGGTGTTCTCAGAGTCAGATGGGGTTGGAGAGCATGAGAGCATATCAGTTAGGAATGCATTTGTCAGCAGGTAAGTGACAGCCCAATTTAGATAGAATGTCTTAAACAAAAAGTGTTTATTTTTCTCACCTAGCAAGAAGGCTGGCAGCAGTCACGGGCAGATATTGTCTTAGTGGTTTCACAGTATCAGGGATGGTATCTCTGATTTTCTTGAACTTTTCCTCATGGTTGCAGGGTAGCTGCTGCAGCTCCAGCTATCACATTCACTTTCAAGGTAGGAAGAGAAGGGTAAGAAGAGTTGCATCATCTATAAACATCCCTTTTTATCAAGAAAATAAAAACCTTTCCAGACCCCCTAGCAGACTTCCACTTATGTCTCATAAGCCACGTGTGTGACATGACCATACTTAACTGCACAGCAGGCAGGGAAAGTACTTAGTTTTTCCTGTCGATGGGAGAGAGGAGGATTGAAAATAGGTGTTGACTGCCATTGGGGGCTTGTAGGAAATGAGTGTGAGAAAATTCATGACTTCCTGATTTAAAAAATGTATCATCCAGTGAATATTCATTCATTCATTCATCCATACATATGTACGAGGGTCTGACAATTAAGTTCGCGAATGCGTCCTAGAAAAAGTGCTATATACCTCATTGCTGAATATCACTACGGTCACTTTTGAAGTACTCCCCTTGGGAAGCTATGCACAGATGCCAGTGCCTACTCCACCCTTCAAAGCAATTTTGGGACTCTTCTATTTTTTTATTTAAAAAAATTTATTATTATTAGTTTCAGGTGTACAAAACAATGCAATAGTTATCCTTTTCACCCCTCACAAAGTGACAACCCCCCCCCACTGCCTCCCCACCCTCGATATCTTACATATCTATTACAATTCCATTGACTCCATTCCTACACTGTACTCCACATCCCATGACTATATATGTGTTTAATTATAGTTGACCTATAATATTATTCAATGGCAGCTTCAGGTATACAGTGCAGTCATCAGGCCTTTATATTGTCCATGAAGTGGTCTCCTTAACAAGACATGAGACCATCTGGCCCCCTAAAAATTATTTACAACATTATTGATTATGTTCCCCAGACTGTCTTTTCTATCCCTGAGGTAATATTGTAGTTATCGATTTATGTTGTCTCGTCCCTTCCCCTTCTCCCTCATCCCCACCCCCGTCCCATCTAGCAACCCTCAGTTTTTGCTCTGTGTCTCTGAGACTATTTCTGTTTACATTACTCATTTATTGAGTTCTTTAGATTCCACATATAAGTGAGATCATATGGTATTTGTCTTTCTCCAACTGACTTATTTCACTTAGCATAATATTCTCTAGGTCCATCCATATCGTTGCAAATGGTACGATTTCATTCTTCTTTATAGCTGAGTAATACTCCATTGTATAAATGTACCACAGTTTCTTAATCCAGTCGTCTACTGATGGGCATTTCAGTTGTTTTCAAGTCTTGGCTATTGTGAATAGCGCTGCAATGAACATAGGGGTGCATATATTTTTTTGAATTAATGTCTTGGGTTTTTCTGGATAAATACCTAAGAGTGGAATTGCTGGGTCATAAGGTAGTTCCATTTCCAGTTTTTTGAGATACCTTCATACTGATTTCCATAGTGGCTGCACCAATCTGCAGTCCCACCAACAGTGCACCAGGGTTCCCTTTTCCCCACAACCTTGCCGGCACTTGTTTGTTGATTTATTGATGATAGCCATTCTGACTGGAGTGAGATGGTATCTCATTAATTTTGGAGCTCTCTTTCTGGAATGGCCATCAGAGCTATTGTCATATTACCCTCGATGTCCTGAATGTCATCCAAGTGGCTTCCTTTCAATATTTCCTTTATCTTCGGGTAAAGAAAGAAGTCATTGGGGGCCAGATCAGGTGAGTAGGGAAGGTGTTCCAATATAGTTATTTGTTTACTGGCTAAAAACTCCCTCACAGACAGTGCCGTGTGAGCTGGTGCATTGTCATGATGCAAGAGCCATGAATTGTTGGTGAAAAGTTCAGGTCGTTTTCGTCTAACTTTTTCTTTTTTTTTTTTTTTCAAAGATTTTTATTGGGGAATTGGGGGGATGGGAACAGTGCTGGGGAGTTGGGGGAAGGGGAACAGACAAGTTGCTGTCGTCCTGCTCCTCAGTCTAGTTGTGGAGGATGTTGCTTCACTGGCCCAAGTTGGCACCATCATTGCGCTCTTCTCTGGCGAGGCAGATCAGTAGCCGGCTTCTGGACGGCCGCTCACTGCGGCTGCTGGCTGCTCACGCTGGCTGCTGGCCACACACGGTAGCCCATGGCAATCCACTGCCACAGGGACTGCAGCCCACGCCGTCGCCGGCGACTCACGGCAGCCCAGCTCCAGGTTGAGCCGTTGTTCAGCATCCTAACCGCAGAGGGCAGTGTCACTGGCCCTCATATGTGGGATCCGAACTGGGGCCCTCTGGCATCCCAAGCGAGTTCTCAACCATCGCGCCACTCGGCCGGCCCTCGTCTAACTTTTTCACGCAGCCTTTTCAGCACTTCCAAATAGTAAACTTGGTTAACTGTTTGTCCAGTTGGTACAAATTCATAATGAATAACTCCTCTGATATCAAAAAAGGTTAGCAACTTTGTTGCAACAAGTTCGCGAATTTAATTGGCAGACCTTTCGTATGTCCAGTACAACCATTTCACAGCTGTGGAAACTGGAGCGGAAGGTTGAGATGCATGTGAGGAGCCTGAAATGGGCCTGGTGAGGGAGGGAAATCGCTTTTAACTCAAACTCTAGCTCAGGTATGAGAGGTTCTACACATTCCCCCCTACGTCCCCGTTTTAGTTTTGGCTTTTAATTGTGTCTAAAGGCACTGAGGAGAGCAGGGAAGTTGTTCTCTGGTCCCCAAGCTGCAGGGTTCTCTACAGGAGGGAGCGAGGGGCCTAGCTGGAAGAGGCAGAGCGGCCCGCCCTTCTCTGTTGGCCTGCCTCCCACTTTCCCGCCTGTCGCTGGGAGGTCCCACTCTCCTTCCCCAGGAGGAGTGTCTGCTGTCATCTGGCTTGCTGTGCCTTTGGTGGTCCTCAGCCCTGGCTCCCAGCTTCCCAGACTTTTCTGACCTGCCCTTTCCTATTCCAGGTTCCCCAAATCTACTGGGAGCTGTCCACCAAGCGGGTCCTGCTGATGGAGTTTGTGGACGGAGGGCAGGTCAACGACAGAGACTACATGGAGAGGAACAATATTGATGTCAACCAGGTGAGGCTGAGCGCTCACAGCTGCTGTGCAGGGGACACGGGTTTGCTTGGGGCTGCCCAGCAAAGGCAGGTGTGTCCAGGTGCGGTCTCCCTGCCTGGAAATGGGGGCTGCTGTCTGAACAGTGATGAAGGCACTGAGCACGAAGCATCATTCCAGGTCATCTCGTACAACCCTCTGCCCTGTCTCCTAAGGCTGAGGTTGGCAGCATGCAGGAGGGTGCAGGCACATGCTGGTAGCCCTTCCTTGCAGCTCCTGCCCAGACAAGTGATTACCATCTGCCTTCTTGTCCTATCCAAGCTCCACAGGGCTGAGCGACCACAGAGAACAATGATGTGGAATCCATGTGATTTGATCCTTCTGCCTCTTGGAGCCTGGACACAACCGCCTCCCTTTTCCTGCCCTCCCCACTCCCTGCACTCCCCAGAGGTCAAGGTGTCAGGCCGAAAGGGGACAGCAGTGGACAACTGTTTCCACTTTGTAGGAACAGGACAAAAGGGGCTTCTGTCTTCCACCTCCCACTCCCATTGGTCTCAGGGAAAGCTGGCCACTGGGGTGGGGCCTGTACCCCATTTTCTTCTTTGTCGCCATAGGGCCCCACAGGTAGGGGTGGAGTTGTACTTTTTCCACAACGTTTGTAGTTTTCACAGTCCCTGCTGTGTCCTAGATGTGAGAGTTCACAGGAGAACCAGACATAATTCCCTTCCTTAAGGAGCTCACAGCCTAGCATTGGAGTAGATAGATATACAGCTATTGGGCTTTCCTGGAAGAGTTCTGCTTGGTGGGGAAAGGATAAGAGTACTGCTGTTCTTTTTTTTTCTTTTAAAGATTTTTATTGGGGAATTGGGGGAAGGGGAACAGACTAGTTGCTGTCCTTCCATTTTTCAGTCTAGTTGTGGAGGACGCCGCCCCACTGGCCCAAGTTGGCACCATCATTGCGCTCTTCCCGGGCGAGGCAGATCAGTCGCCGGCTTCTGGACGGCCGCTCACAGGGGCTGCTGGCTGCTCATACTGGCTGCTGGCTACACATGGTAGCCCATGGCAGCCCACCTGCAGTAGCTGGTGACTCAGGGCAGCCCAGCTCCAGGTTGAGCTGTTGTTCAGCATCTGAGCTGTAGAGGGCAGTGTCACTGGCCTTCTTATGTGGGATCCGAACCGGGGCCCTCTGGAATCCCAAGCCAGCTCTTAACCAACATGCCACTCGGCCGGCCCAAGAGTACTGCTGTTCTAATAACCCTCCACTTTACAGACGGGGAGAAAAGCTCAGAGAGCGGGCACATATCTTCCCCAGTGTCGCTGGGCCAGTCGCACAGTCTGGGGCCTCTGACTGCTTCCCTCCCTGCGGGCTTCCAGGAGGGGCCTGGGGAAGTGTCTGGGCAGGGCTGCCTGCAGAGGAGGGAGAAGACCTGTTTGCCCACCTCTACCCCTGCTGGTTGGGGTGAGGGTGTCCTGCATCTAGCCAGGGATCCCTTTGACCACCAGGACCCTTGGGTACAAAGTCTTTGGCGCTAGTGGAAGAAGGGGAGAGGGGAATGGAGAGGAGAGAAGGGAAGGGAGGTCACCTCCGGATTTTCTTCAACAGCCTTAAAGGGAAGCCAGGTCTCTCTGCCTGCTGATCAGATCAGGAAAGATCCCAGAGGCTTTACACTCCCCTGCCACCTGCTGGGTTACTGGCACTTAGTTACCACCACTAGGGTGGGATTTTCATTCTGACAGCAACCCCAAATCCATTAATCTCTTTGGACCCAGTGAGCCCAGGGCTGTAATGGTGTTTAATCAGAGGCAGCTTTGATTTCAGAGACAAGTACAAACAAAGATGTGCTCTGGTGTGGCTGCTTGCTGGTGGCTGAGCAAGGTGCTGGGAGGCAGCTCAGGCAGCTGGGCTGAAGGTGGCAGGGGGGAGCTGGGACAGGGAGGTGCCCTCTGAGGGCCTGGGCTCATCTCTCTCTGCCCCCAACCCTCTTTAATAGCCGTGCAGCTAAGGCCAGTGTTCTGTGCAGGGCAGACCCTCCGTGGATATCCTGCGAGTTCATGGACAGGTAAATAAGCCAGCCTCATGCCCTGGGTTGGCCTCTGTGAGGCAGGGCTGGGTTAGAGTGCTGGTTTTCTCTGGACATGCATAGTTCTGCAAGCTGATATCAGAGTTATTTGGGAAAAACAATAACAATAACAACAATTATCATAAGCAAGTAATATGTACCAAGCATGTGACACATATAACCTCCACTCCTTGACAAGGATATATTTTTAACTCCATTGGCAGATGAGAGAGCTAAAGCTCAGAGAGGTAAACGACTTATCCAACATCACACAGTTAGCAGAGGCAGAGCCGGGATTTGAACCCAGGTCTGTGTGACTTCAAAGTCCTTATTCCTCCACCTTCTCCGTCTCCCTCCCAGGGCTTTGCGTTGGGCTGCAGTGACACCTGGAGCCACCTGGTCGATGGCCACATCAGTGACTCCTTGAGCAAGGAGCTGGAGTGCTGACTGAGAAGCTTTGCCCAGCCCCCATCCCCTATGGCCCACCCCGACACTATCTAAAGGCAACCCTTCTTTCTCTAGCTTCCGTCAAGTCTCCTTGTATCCATTTCATACAAACATTGTTCCGTTTGATAGAGATGGGAGGACTAGCTGAGTTAGGGAGTGAGCAGGCTTAGCACAACGCCTAGCATGTGGTGAGCACTCCCAAGTTGTTTGCTTGTTGATTTGATTGTTGATTTCATTATTATCATCTTGAGCCCTTTCCTCCTTTATCCCGTTTTACCATGAACATTTACCAGCTGCCTGACTCCCTGTGCCAGGCCCTTTCTGCGTGGTAACCTTAGGAGGGAGGTTTTATTGTCTTCACTTTCCAGATGAAGAATCAGAGAGGGAAAGGTAACTTACGTAAGGTCCCAGATCTTAATGGTACACCTTGGTGAGTTTTCATGTGGATACACCATGTAATCACCAGCCAGGTAAAGATACAAGTCATTTCTAACTCCCTGGCAGGCTCCCTTGTGTCCCATCCCCGTTGATACCCTCACCCTGGCCAAAGACCAGAGCTATGGCTCTTCTGACTTCGGTCGCAGGTAACTTTCGTTTATTACTGAACTTCATGTAAGTGGAGTCATACAGTATATAGCCTTTTGGGTCTGGCATCTTTTTTTTTAAAGATTTTTTTATTGGGGAATTGGGGGGATGGGAACAGTGCTGGGGAATTGGGGGAAGGGGAACAGACAAGTTGCTGTCGTTTTTTTTGTTCTTCAGTCTAGTTGTGGAGGACGTTGCTTCACTGGCCCAAGTTGGCACCATCATTGCGCTCTTCTCCGGCGAGGCAGATCAGTCGCCGGCTTCTGGACGGCTGCTCACTGCGGCTGCTGGCCGCTCACGCTGGCTGCTGGCTACATACGGTAGCCCATGGCAACCCACTGCAGCAGAGGCTGCAGCCTACGCCTTCGCAGGCGACTCATGGCAGCCCAGCTCCAGGTTGAGCTGTTGTTCAGCATCTTAGCTGTAGAGGGCAGTGTCACTGGCCCTCATATGTGGGATCCGAACCGGAGCCCTCTGGCGTCCCAAGCCAGCTCATAACCATCACGCCACTTGGCCGGCTCGGGTCTGGCATCTTTGTCATCAGTCAGCTGTGGGTCTTTTTTGGAAGCTCTGTTTTCTTCCATTGGTCTCTTGGTCTAGCCTTAGAATAACATCACACTGTTTTAATTCCTTAGGAATCCCTAAGGAATCAGTGACTTAATCCCATGCCCCTGGCTTTTAGGATTGGCATGACCCAGGAAGCTCTTGGTATTCTGAGATGATGCCTTTAAATAGCTCCACAGAAACCTCTGGCTGGACATGGGGCCATGGGCTATGTGTGCTACTGTGTAGTCTCTCACCATTGGTGATGCTGGGAGTAGACTAGCAATAGGCCCTACTAGATTGCAGAAATCAATCTATTATATCTCTTACCAACAAGTATCAAAGCCATAGGCCTCTTGGAAGACCGGTGATGGTGATGGTGGTGGTGATGGTGGTGGTGGCGGTGGCGATGGTGGTGATGGCAGTGGCGGATGGTGGTGGTGGCGGTGGTGATGGTGGTGGCGGCGGTGGTGTGTGCGCTTGCGTGTGTGCACACGCCGAGCATGAAAGCCTCCAGGTTACTGAAAGTTTCTAACAGGCTTCTGAGGTTCTGAAGTCTCCCTAGGACTGTGGGACTCGGAGCCTGTCCCTGTAGTGACTCTCCCTCCTAAGAACAGCCTGGCTGTGTTTGTTTTTTGGGGAGGGAAGTACAAGGGACAGATAGGAGTGACAGGGGCAAAGAACTCACCCCAAATCCTGGGGGTAGTGGCATCTTGGCTGCTACAAGCTGATGACTCAGCTGGAAGGTGGGGCTCGACAGACGGAGTGGCTCTAGAAGGAATTGCTCTTGAGATGGGTTAGTGATAGCTCCAGACGCCTCCAACCACTTTTTGAGTCATCCTCACTCCACTTTGTAGAAGCCCCTTACCTCACAGCATCCCAGCCCAGCTGGGCCTAATGTGTGAGGGCCTTAAGACCAGTTCCTGATAGACAGCATCCAGTTCCCGATAGACTCTGGCAAGGAAACACCAGATTAGGAGGCAAGATACCAGATTCCAGCTCCATCTCTGCCAATGGCTCACTGTGTGACCTTGGACAAATCACTGCTTGTCTCTGGGCCTCAGTTTTCTTATTGAAGGTTTTGGATTAACTGGACTCTAAGGGTACGTCCTGCTTGGATATTTTAGAGAGCAATGATTCTCAGCTTGCTGGGAGCTAGGACTTGAGCCATCTATTTCAAAATCACCAGGGAGCTTATTTAACAATGCAGATTCCTGGGTCCCACCCCAAATGTACTAATCAGAATCTGGGCAGAAAAGGTTGAGGGGGTTGCAAGAATCTGCATGTTTCACAAACTCTCCAGGTGGTTCAGATACTCACTGAAGTTCAGGAAACACCTGCCATGAGGCCGGAGGGTCTGGGCCCCTCTGCTGTTGTCCACCCACCCTT